TAAGGGTAAAAATGACAATCAGTCTCAGGACAATGTCAACTGCTCCAAATGACGTCACGCACCTCGGAATTGATCAGAACGCTGACCGAGGCACATTAATATCCTGCAAAAGTCAAGTCCAACACGCTACGCCATCGCTACTGTCAGGAGTACCAGCCTGCCCCCTGTAAGTGGGCAGCTCAGGAAGCAGAATGCTCCCCTATAAATACCCTCTCATTCATTAGAAGGGGGGAAGGGGGGACACACTCCAAAACACTTCTTCTCTTGAAACCCCCTCCACATCTTCCTCTAACTTGATCGTCGGAGGGGTCGGGTCGAGCACCCCGACCCGACCTTTGTGCAGGTGCGAAGCCGAAGGTCCCCGTTGGTCCCGCAGGTCGAGACGACCACATCGTCCCGATCGGACACCGCCCCCGACCTCCTCAGCGGGCTCGAGGAGCGCCCCCAGGGAGATCCCCGCCTTCCGGACCCGAACCAAGCTGCGATGGCCCCGAGGCCACGGCTTAAACAGATGCCCCCCGCATCAAGACTGGCGAGAGAAGAAAGGAAGGTTCGTGGAAGGAGAGGGTGCCGTCATCTTTTTCGCAAGAGACTAACGACGACTTCAGCTTGGAAGTCTTGGTTAGTTTTGGATAGCTGGTCTGTACATCTGAGAAAAGCCATCAGAGAATAATACATGTTAACCATTCTATTTCATTTGGTCATTAATTAGTTATTAGATTTGCGAAGATAGATTACATTTTGTTAAGATACAACCCGGACCGTTGACCACCTGCACAATCCATGCCAAGTCGTTACAGTTGACTTTTCTCTAGATTTTCCATATTGACTGCTTCCTACGAGTGATGAATGCATAAACAACAACACATCGAAGCTTGCTTACAGCTTTGATGAGCTCCTATAGCTGCGTCCAACTGCTATCCCTGCAGGGATTGAGCAAATGTGGATATGAGATTGAGCATCTCAGACCCCTCCATCTGAAAATGGCCAACTCCTTGGATCAGGTGGCTGTCGACTCTGCCGGCTGCGGATTTAAGCTTGTTTTGCAATTGATCTCTGTTCCCCATGATGAAGAGCTTGGGTTTCTCCGACATGAGGATGGCTTCCTGATGCCTCCCAAAGAGGATGGAAGCCATCAAACCAAAAGGGTAACCGATACTGACATAGCCAACAACCTGGTCTATTTTATCGACAGCCGGCAATTGGAGCACCTGTTACAGGTAACAGAGGTCAATAAAAGCTTGTAATCTGCATAGCCCTACAGATACCAAAAGCCAACCAATTGGTATACAAGCATTCATATATAGTATACAGAATTGAGACCTAGACTGCTATTGTAATCATATCATGAAGATTAATACAGGAGATATGCAGATGCTGAAATCAAGGATGAACCTTGATAATGCTACACAAAGTGCCAAATTCTCTCTTTGGACCAGGTTGCTATTGTGCTTGTGAAAATTTTATGATTGGAAAGGTCAAGAACCACAGATCAGCAGACAAAATTTACTTGAGATACTGATAATAAAGCTGATGTGCTGCTATAAAACCAATATGTTCAATTCAGTGCCATACAAGGAATTAGGGTCCATATGAACAACAGGAAACAATCAAAGTTTTTTTTCTGTCAAAAAAAATCTTATTAAACAATAAAAAGCATACATGCAAACTCCAAGGAGACTGAATCTCAGAGTTTTCTTGAGCTCAGAAGGTTATCGGTCAGCTCAATGCAATGAGACTACAGGATGATTGCATCTTTGTGGATTTGATATATACTTTGTAGTCTAACAAAATCACTTAATGCATTACAAAGCTTACATCATTACCTGCGAGTCACATTTTACTTCATGTTCCATTTAATTGCTCACCTCTTATTACCCCTTCTCCTCTAACCTCAATATCCCTGAACTTTTTCCACCTGAAGAAATAACTCTGTGAATCCAGTTTTTCCTGGTAACCCAGCAAGCTTCACCATTACAGCCCATGCCACAGTGTTATTTATGACTGCTTGCCGATCACTAATGAACTCGCCCTGATTCATGCTATGGGCTGGATATGGAGAGTATATGTAAATTTCCCCCTCTATGCACAGTAAAAAAAGTTACTCTAATCTTAAGTAGCAAAACTGTCACCACTTTAAATCTATACAAATTCACTGCTCGTTTATTCTCAGGTGAGATAAAAATATGAAAGATCCTACAAGTGACTGTAGGAGGCAGAACATTTGCAGACAATCATTTGGTAACGTTTCTAGTAGCAAAAGAAACCTAAACCGGTTGGAAAGTTATATACATGATATTATTCAGAAAAATAAAAATATAGATCAAACGACAAAAACTTTCTTCACTTCAAATTTAGAATTTTTTTTATCCTCAAAACTTATACTGTTTTATGCAACAAAAGAATCGAGTTTGAAAAATCTAATACTGTTCTCTCTTATAGGTAAATCAAGAGTACCTTAGTAGTACATCGATCGCTCATGATTTTCGTTTCGATGTTTTATCTCCACATTGACATCTTTCTTCTTGTTTGACTCCCTCATGCATTAATCTGGTCGCATCATACTCGATTATCAAGTCATTAATCTCATGTATCGACTAACTTTCGACACAAACATTATTCAAGAAAATCTTTTTTTATTATATTTATCTTTATTAGTTGTATAACCTATCTCAAAAGAGAATATTAGTTATATTGTTATGTACTTTAAATAAAATGGACAACCTAGTTTGGATAGCTTAGTTGGGAAATTATCAGACTGAAGATTTAAAGGTCGCGTATTCGATCCACGCTTACCGTATGTTTGCTATTGATGTCACAAATAGGTTGAAGGAAGTATGTTATGTTTTGCCCCTTTTCATCAAAGGCTTTCCCTCTTAATTTTTCTTTTATCTTTATTAGTTATATCGGTTCATCTAATACCCACCAGCCATAGAATAATTGAGAGAGTAAGAAAGGGATAAAAAATCTTCACATTGTTTTCTCTCTTGTCGCTTATTTGATCTCTGCAAAATCATTTTAAAACTTATACCGTCTTATGCAACAAAAGAATCGAGTTAGAAAAATCTGATGCTGTTATCTCTTATATGTACTTCAAGAGTACATTATTAGTACATCGATCGCTCGTGATTTTCGTTTCGAAGTTTTATCTCCGCATTGACATCTTCTTTCTTGTTTGACTCATTCACACATTAATCTAGTCGCATCATACTCGATTATCAAGTCATTAATCTCATGTATCGACTAACTTTAGATACTAACATTATTCAGTAAAAATCTTTTTAAAATTTATTTATCTATATTCGTTGTATAAATTATCTTAAAAGAGTGTATTAGTTATATTGTTATGCACCTTAAATAAATATAAATACCTTGCGGGAATAGCTTAGTTGGGAGAGCGTCAGACTGAAGATTTGAAGGTCGCGTGTTCGATTCATGCTTATCGCATTTTTGCTATCGATGTCACATCAAAGGCTTTCCCTCTTAATTTTTCTTTTCACTTTATCGGTTCATCTAATACCCACCAGTCATGTAATAATTGAGAGAGTAATAAAGGGATCAAAAATCTTCACATTGTTTTCTCCCTTCTCACATCTCTGGAAAATCATTTCAAAACTTAGATCGTTTTATACAACAAAAGAATTGAGTACCTTAGTAGTACATCGATCGCTCATGACATTGTTTTCTCCCTTCTCACATCTCTGGAAAATCATTTCAAAACTTAGATCGTTTTATACAACAAAAGAATTGAGTACCTTAGTAGTACATCGATCGCTCATGATTTTCGTTTCGATGTTTTATCTCCACATTGACATCTTTCTTTTTTTTGACTCCTTCATATATTAATCTGGTCGCATCATACTCGATTATCAAGTCATTAATCTCATGTATCGACTAACTTTCGACACAAACATTATTCAAGAAAATCTTTTTTTATTATATTTATCTTTATTAGTTGTATAACCTATCTCCAAAGAGAATATTAGTTATATTGTTATGTACTTTAAATAAAATGGACAACCTAGTTTGGATAGCTTAGTTGGGAAATTACTTGAAAGCAATAAAGAAAAAACAAAATCAACCAAACTACTTGAGCGACAAGATTTAAATTGGGTGACTATCAGTCCAAAAATCTTACCTATCTTTGTGAAATTCATAACAACAAAAGAACAGACAAGTGTGAAACATTGCCTAGCAATAAGAAACTATTTGGACAAGCATCAAATATAAATTGCTTATAGTACAAACTTTTGAAATAAAACGGCCTACAAATTTGCTTTCTAGTTTGGACAAATACTCTGATCTGCCCAATGTTTGTGATCAAGAATGGTTGACAATAGCAAGCAAGAGTTTGCAATTAGTCAGTTCACAAGGTCCCATCTAAGTATAAGAATGAAACTAGATAACACAAAATTAGCCAAAGAACAGTGCAAATGAAGAGATGTCTCTCACACCATCTACAGCTCTAATTGCATTAATTAGCTTCAGGTAATTGGCACTGAGCCTTTTAAGAATCGTCAGACATCTTCAACCATTATAATTTAATCTAAAATATGGTTCCTTAAATAAAGATGTAAATTCTTTTAATTTAACTAAAAATATGACTTCTTATATCTCAATGATGGCAAAATATCCATGTAGTCGATCCCAAATAATTGAAACTTTATTGTTGTTGTTATTTATATCTTCAACCTTTAGGATAAGTTAAAAAGAGAAATTAATCTATCGACAAGCTTTGAATCCACCCAGAGAACTCAGTCATGTTCGAAATTTGAAGAGGGGAATTACCTGCGGAGGATCCAACCAAAATGATGCCGCGAGGGGCGAGGGTATTAGAGGCCCACTTGCAAACGGCGATGGCGTCCCGGATCTCGGCAGAGCCGAAGAGGGAAGCCCAGCCGGCGCACCTCATATCAAAGGTGACAACCCGGAAGCCCCGTTCGGCGAGGCCGGTAGCGATCCCCTTGAGGAGTCCCTGGGAGCCGCCAAGGACGGTGTAGGGGTGGACGAGGACGACAACAAGGTCGTTCGCGGGGGCTCCGCCGGCTTGAAGAGCCGTGCGTGGAGCTTGACGCCGTCACCGGTCTCCACCATCACCGACTCCATCCCTACCATCATCACCTCCGCCGCTAACAACGCTAGAAGCTGCGATCGGAGGAAGGAAGCCTTCGTAGACTCCTCCTCACACACAATGCGTATCATTGATAGTAAGTGGTAATCATGCCACGTAGGTAGTTTCTTAAACTTCAATCGATTCTCTTATATATATATATATATATATATGTATGTATATATATATATATATGTATGTATATATATATATATATATGTATGTATATATATATC